AGAACCTTGAAGAAATAAACTTTAACAAATAAGCAGCTTTATTGAGCGTTTGTGCCCAAGGCACAAAAAAAAACATTTACATTTTAATTACATTTTTTTACATGTATTTTTTTTATTTATATTTATGCATTTGTCAGACACTATTATCTGAAGTGAGTTACAGTGCTCTTATTACAGGGACCTCAATCCCATCTGGAATAAAGAGGTTGTGTTTGCGGAACGATGTATGTTATAATACATCGTGTACACTCACTAAACAAAGAGTGACAGAGACAGAGACAGTGCCAGAGCAGAGCCAATTCATAAAAGAACAATATTTAAAAACACACGTCCAGTTTTGTGTACCTGGGGTGGCCAGCCAAATTTCAGGGGGGGCCGGTGCCACCCCTCGCCACCACGTAGACACGCCCCTGCCTTCTGCTGACCAGCTCACTACACCACAGAAGTAATGAAGCTATATCAAAAATTAGCATGTCATTGTAAACATATGAAATGAAATTTAGCATGAGATATAAGATGTTTTACAGACAGTCGTGCTCGTGGAGAGCAGCACACAGATGTTTGGAGCAGACACAGTGATAGACAGATCATGTTCAGGGTTGTGTGGTTCAGGGTCTTCATCATAGTCTTCCTCATCCTCTCTGTGTACTCAAGACAACGACAGGCTCGATGTCCCTCTCTCATCCATGATCAGATTCAGTCTGACTGCAGCAGTGAGGGTCGTGATGGACGGCAGAGACAGCTGAAGGTGGACACGGTGGTCTTCATCAGAATAAAGCTGTGTTGAGATGCAGATGTGGGTTCACCGTCTGTAAATACATGATTGTTAGAACAATGTTTGAATAAAGCTTTGTTTCATGTGTCGATTACTTGTATTTATTTATTGTCATGGTTACATTTATTAATTCTTTTACTCATTTGCTCATGTTTCCTGTTGTTGTCAGTAAATAAAATGTAATTGTTTCATTAACGTGCATTAATTCATAACTTGACTGAAAATTGAGATGTATTCACCTTGGCTGCGTTTGTCTAGTGTGTAGTCATGCATAGCTATGGCATGACAAAACAAATTACATTTTGTTTGTTTTACTAAAAAAATATAATTATTGGTCAGCATCTATCATTATTATTGTTCATAAGTGTTGGGGTGGGCTAGCAATGCATTCTGGGGTAATCTTAATTTTTAAGTAGTAATACTTACATTTTTCGAGTGTAAAATTAACAGTCTTCTCCAAAGGCGAGATCTTCTAGCAGCTGATCGACGTCTCCTTTCTGCAGATATTACACATATTGCAAACGCTGAGGAAAACCGTACTAGGTAGTGTGGAGTTACTGATGCTGTGAGGTGTTAGTGCACCTGTCCCTCTTATGTTCTTTTTAGTATTAATACTGCAGAACTTATTACATACAAGCCCAGGGAAAGACGGTAGTATCTTTAACAATGAACAATCATAATGATAAAAAACAGAGAACAACTATAGAATGAGATTATATACACGGGAAAAAAAGAATAAATATCTTTGAATAATCATAAAATTAATATAATCATAATGCATTAAAAATTACATTTGTTGTTTTTGTTATTTATAAGCTTTAGGGATTAAACGTGAGAGACATTCAAAAAGAAAAAGAGGAAAACAAAGGAGATTCTAGACAGGTTGACAATTTTGCACATAAAATTAAGAGATGAATAACATATTCAGAAGATAACGATTTTGGTTTTTCGTAATAAAAAAAAATATATCTTTAAGGATTAAACTGTGGGTATATTAGTAGAGCTAAAAATATAAAAACCTTAACCCAAAATTTATTGGTTATATTACAATCACAAGGGCAGCGGTTTCTTCTACAAGACCAAAAATGATCAAATTTCATAAACATCAAAAATATTTACAGATAGATGAATTAAACCTGTTCAGTTGTTGCACTTGTTATAACGGCATAAATCACATGATAACGTCAACATGGTGGATCGCATTCATACTCAACGAGATTTGGCTGTAGAGTACCTATTCAATTCAAGTTTTCAATTCAAGTTTATTTGTCCCGTATTTTTTAATAATATTACCAAGGGGCAACATGTATATCGAAAATAGCAGAGGACCTAGGACAGATCCTTGTGGCACTCCATATTTTACTGGTGATAATTGAGATGACTTCCCATTTAAATGAACAAAGTGGTAGCGATCGGACAGGTAGGATCTAAACCTACTCTTTTAGCGCTCGTTAAGTACTTATTGAAATTAAGTACCCACTCTTTGAGTACACCATTTCGGATGCAGCCAGTGACTCACTTAAGACAGTGGCTTGCCGCTAATTACTGGCAATTTGTTTCATATTTAAAAGTATCTTTTTTTATCATTTCGTATTTCTGTATTCCAAATTGTATATTTAAAACATTAATCTCATAACATTATTTACTCAATTTGTCAGTGCAGTGTAAATGCATGTACAAGTGCTTCTTAAAAATAAGTGTATAGAGCCCTGCATGTTTAATTTA